GTATAGACAAGTCTAAGCTGTTCAAAATGTTAGTTTGTGTTGTTTCCTAGGCTGACCGACCCATAATCTTGAAAATCTCTGGTCGGCGTATATTTATGAAATAATGTATTTTCCCAAAAAGAGCCCAGGATTTGTATAAAACGAATTTCCAAACTTCTAATTGATTAATTAATGTCATAATGAACAAATTAGGCCTAATTGACCAATTTCCAATTATCACATTTCTTCAGCCACTTACGTTTTTGCCTTTTATAAGAACTTTTATGATTTGATCCGTAGTCCATAGAAGTGAGGTTAAATGGTAGGCCCTACTAAAAGCAGTGGTGCATAAAGCATGCGCAGACGGAAAATTGAGCTCCTCTAGTTTGACGCCGCCACTGGCTGGAATTATACTCACCAAAACTTACAACTGATATCACTGAATTGGGAAACTCGACGCCAGTAAGTTGGTAAGATATCTGTTTATAAGGACTTAAGGTTTGGCTTGTCCTCCAGGTCCTGTAGACATTCTTCCACAAATCCTCAAACCCTCTATCATCATCAACATAATCCTTTTCTTGATAATCATCCGACAAGGGGTTGAAGCCTATGATGTCTATCAGAGAGGCCCTGTGGATGTCGCGTAAACATAAATGTCGCCATAACTGATAATATTGCTCAAGGTGTTCAATTATTTCTTTCCAACTATGAGATACCTGTAAAAGGCAAAGTGTATTTTTTCTTCAAATAAAAGGAATGTCTATCCAGTTGCATTATTGAAAAATTAAAAATATTAACTCATGAAGTCATTTAGAGAAGTAATGTTTACATTGTTTTTTGACCCACAAGCCTAGATGAGAAGGGTGGGCACAATTAAGTTTATACCTATTATTGTCTGAATCTCATACCTTAGTACATATTTTTAAAATGTTGTATAAAAAAGTCTCTTTTTAGATATATTGATTAATCAGACCCATAGAAAATATAGTAAAAAAAATTACAAATTAAAACAACTTTGTGAAATCATCACTTCTAGTATTTATTAGGTCATCACTTACTGTATTTATTGACATTATCACTTTCAGTATTTATGGCATCACTAACCTGTTTTGCTCTCAAAACACTTCTACCATCGAGGTGCCAAATGATATTTTCTACAATTTCTGGTAAATCTTGAAAATCAATGTTCTTTCTTTCACGAAAAATTTCTAATAAGATAATTACCACAAATTAATTCTTTATTATATATCGCAGGTTTTGCTTGTTATGCTATAATTTAGGCCATATTTTTTGCACATGTAAATAAAAGATTATCAGGAAAAGCGTGAATAAGACAGTCGTTTCTATTAAAGGCCTTGTTTATTTTATCGAAGCACATTTTTACAAAACTTTCTAGTTGATCACTAAGTCGACCGGTACCGAATTGAGACTATAAAATGACTGAAAAGATTAATTCATCAGATCATGTGGAAATATCCTAGGTCCACTTGATGACTTAAAATTGTCCGAATCCTGACAAACTCAAGTTTAGATTAATAGAATTATTGAAATGACGGGTTATTCTAAAGATACACACACATGACTGTAATAATAACAATTACAGCAACATTATTCCTTCCGTGTCACAAAAAGGTTTACTTCTCCGTTGAATAACTACCACATTTAGCATAAAGAGAATACAGTATTCAATATACAGCATTTACCTGTAAGCATACAAATGATTGCTACTCATTAGTAAAGAAACATACTCCGATAAATACTACTAAAACTATAGAGGCATCGAACCCTCGACATTTGTTTGAGAGCTGAACTACCATTGGTCAGCTTGTGTGTTGGTACAATACGATAGGCCTATGCCTATTTTGTAAAAAAGTCCGAGCTGTGTGTGATGTAACACTACCGTAACAAAACGTAACTTCAATTATTAACAAACAGTACCGGTATAACATATGACTAAATATTACTGATAAGGCAAAGAGAGACGAACGATGTAAGAGTGACTCTAATCATCCCCGGAAAAAGTATGCAATATACTTTTATATTATTGAGAGTAGAAGAGACAAACGCATATAATTTCATTTAAAATCTAAACGAATGATAGGGTACTAAAAATATAACAGGACTAGGAAGATCGGAATCGCAAATGTGCATCAATCGCTACCACTATTTCTTAATTTTGGCTTCTTACTAATTCTCTATTCTCCAAACTGAAGATAACTCATGTTATGAAAAACGTTTAATAAAAAAAAAAAAAAAAAAAACGAAAACTGGAGTAGAAGAATGGTGACGTCATTATCTCAAGTCCTGTTATTTTAACACCCTGCTATCAACCATGAACACATAATGATATCTACGCAACCAGGCATATAATATGGAATGAATTTTTTGGATGGAAGCACCATAGAAAAAATTATTTGGTTATATAAATATCAGCTTTTATTTATTTATTTATTGTTATACCAGCTCGCTTTCAATGGTTAGCTGGAACGGTTCTGAATTTTATTATTATTTATCAAAATACTTTAAGCCTTAAGCAACCAATTGGCTTCGAAACCCCGGTGCTCACCGACCAAAGTTTTGCACAGCTTTATATGAGTGTGCAAGGGTTATTGTTGGTAAACATTGAGTTACATGCATTTGTCTCTTCCACTCAATAATATAAAATTATATTTTATACTTTGTCCAGGGAAAACTGAGTCACTCTTACATCGTTCGTTTGTCCTTTCAAAATTAATCAAAACGTATCATCAATTATTAACAAATAGTAAAAAAATATGACTTATTATTACTAGTAGGGCGAAGAGAGACGAACGATGTAATTTTATTTTATTTGAGTGGAAGAGACAAACGCATCACTGTCATTTAAAATGGAAACGATTGAAAACGTATTTATAAATACAATAATAATAATAATAATAATAATAATAATAATAATACTAACAATAACATTAACAATAATAATAACAACAATAACAACAACAACAATATTATAATTTTGGAACATCCTAATAACACAAACTCAAGCTCCCTGGGAGAGTATTCCATAAATTTGCAGTAGCTGCATCAGCGCATTTTGGCATTTAACCCTGCCAAGTACCCATTTATACTCCTGGGTGCAGAGAAGCGATGGAGATAAAGTGCATTGCCCAATGAAACAAGTGAAATGCACAGCGAGGGATTGAACCCTGACCTCGAGGTAGGGAAAGCAAGCCGTTGCTACTGCGCCAAACCACATCTATAAAGTAACAAATATGTATATAATAACATAACTATATTCTTTATCAATTACCTTTTATCAACTACCTTTAGTTGCCTGTAATTTTATAATAATTATATAGTAAAAGTTCAATAGATCTGTGGAAAATTATATATTGATTTGTGTTTCATATATCAAGTTAGTTGATACTTTTAAATAATGAATTGACATTTTTAAATATTTCCTTAGTTCATCAGAATTATTAATAATTTGCTTTCTATCATTGATTAACCATAATCTCTTGATGATCAAGACTGCTGACAAGAAATAAATGTAAATCAACTCAAAATATGTAAGGCAGCATTGATTGAAAATGATAACAAAACCACTGCTGATAAATTAGACGAATACTACCAGTATACATAAACAAACTTGAAAGAATTTTAATCAGTGAATTATCGAGTACCGTATGGACTGAACAGTAGGCCTAGGTAGCAGGTTTAGGTGTTTGTGTGTATTTTTGTATGTTTAGCTTAGCCACATAACAGGCCTAATTAATACTATAAATTGCAGAGACCAGCTATTCGCTGTGGTCTATCTATTATAACCCGACTATGTGAGGGCGTATATCACTGTCTATGGTTATATGGTACTGTGTACAAGACTCCTCTAGTTGGTATTTACAGTGCTCGCAGCACTGTTAAGTAACCTATCTAAAATCGTTTTAGACACTTCTATACAATAAATATGTAATATACATACTGTTCCAGTTTCGGCTTCTAAATATTGACATGCTTTCTCTCACGTAAGTTTTTTGTCAAAGCAGAAATCGTGTACTAGTCTGCATTATTTAGGAAAACGAAGGCTGATAATGTCATACCACGTACCTATTAATAAGGACATACAACTATTTTCAGCTACAGTACGTGATTACTTATTCTTCAGCCAATCAGCAATAAGCGGTTACACTTCCTTGTTTTGATAGCAAATTCAGAATAGAGAGCGGCAGACAGAGATTTTCTGTTATTATTTCGCAACGCAAATGCCATATAGGAGCATATAAGGTTCAGCCCAGAACCCTTTGGAAGGAGTCGAGGGGACCAGTCCGAAAAATTTGTTGGGTGGAGCTGACAGTATGACCACTGGGAAAAATAAAAATTTCCAATGTTGTTTTAAAAAAAAATCCTAAGATAGCTTTAAAAATCCCAAAATTCGCAAAATATTGGCGATATATACACACAGAGTCTTACATTAATTAAAATCATAAATAAGAAATGACAAGACAATCGTCGTATTATTATTCTTTTTATAGAAAAAAAAATAGAGTTGATTTTTAATTTCTATTTTCGAAAGGTGTAATTTGATTGGACGACTGTCAATTTAAGACACAATGTTCAAAAAGCATTTGCAAAGTATGAGACCGTATAATTCCCTGGAATCTAGCTGCAATGTTCTTACTCAACTTTTTCACAGGCCTATGTCATTGTTTGAACCATACAGCATATCCGCCATTGGGACACAAGAAGAGATTCAACTTAAAATTCACTCTATTTTGCAAAAGGATGAAGATGGCACTAAACAACAATCAGAAGATTTGAAAAAAAAAAAAAAAAAAAAAAACAATAAAATTAAAAAAAAAAAAAAAGCTTTCAATTTATTTCGAATAATAGAACAGCCGCGCTTATTCACAACACTGTCAGGCCCATAGTGTTAGTATTTCTTCATTTTTAAATTGTCTTCATGAAGAAACAATATTTAATTTCATTCCAAAAATTCCAAGATTTAATAAAAAGTTAACAAAAAATCCCAAGCAGTATTGGTCACAATGGGAGCTGATGTTCAATCATTTCGGTCGCGGGTTTGTAATGCCAAAAGTATGAAACGCCATTGCAGCAGATGAAGTCACTAAAATAATAACCCAATAGAATTTATTACGACATACTAGGTCTAAGCTAAGCGATATAGGCCTGTGAGTTTTTGTTTTTGTTTCTTTTTGTTTGTTTGTTTTTTTTTCGGTAATCCTTGGTCATAGGCCTATGTAGGCGCTGTAGTGATAAATCGGTTGCTGTATATTGATTTTTCGGTAATTTTTGAATAAGAATTTAATATATACATTTTTTATGAATTTAAATTATAGAGGCCTAATTCAATTATATAATAATGCACGTTTTTAATTAGTACTACCTCTAATGTTGTGGTAATGCATTATACAATACTGAATATGAACGCATACAATAATGCCTAATGTTTATAATAATTAGGCGTATATTTAATCTGCTTATTAATATTTTTCATTTAATTAGCATGTACTGACATTCAGCAGAAAAATGCCGAGGAAAAAATTGCGTCGGTGTGGAATTTCTAGCATTAATTCTCAATGGAATCTGGCTGTGAAGTTAAGCAAAGAACATAAATAACAGAAGAATGAGCTGCTCTGTGTATTTTACGGAAGCCCGTTAGTGTCAACAGTGAATAAAAATTTCAAATCACTTAACTGGCGGCCGCCAGATAATTATGTTGCGTCCGCCAGATAATTATCTGGCGGCCGCCACATAATTATCTGGCGGCCGCAACATAATTATCTGGCGGTCGCCACTTATTTATCTGGCGGCCGCCAGTTAACTGATTTGAAATTTTTATTCACTGTTGACAATAACGGGCTTCCGTAGTAAACAAACGAACAGGAGCAGCACCTTTATTATTGCTATATAGCGCAGCCGCGCGGATGGCGATTTTTTTCCTGTACGAAACATTTGCATGAAACTTCACTCGGGCCATCTCGGATTGACTCGACTAAGTTCGATACGAGGAACAAGAGCGGCAGACACTTCGCAATGTCGTGACGCTCGAGTTTTACTATTATTGCTCTTTCTATGTTTACCTACGGTAGGCCTATGATATCTTACGGATTTATGGGATGTACGTGTGTAACTAACTGTGACCTTCTTGGATGTTTATTAAATGTTAGTATAATATCTACAACAACAACAGCTAGAACCCCCTTTTATAAAGTGTTGATAGGTACAGTAATACCAGAGGCTAGGGAGAAAAAGGATAAACTATGGGCCTAACTACAGGCTAAGTTAAGTCCTACCTAGTATAGGCCTTGGGTCCTAGGCTGACACCAACAGTCACGCTTTACATATAGACGTTGATTGAAATTAAAAAAAAAAAATGGAAAAAATTAAAGCATGAAATAAAAAATAGAGTGCATAAGAGAAATATTATTAAATAAATAAAATGTACCATTCGGCGGCGTTATTGAACTTGACCAAATTATCCTTGTAATGTAATTACAAATAATAAATAATAATAATAATTTCAGCATTAATTACCTTGACCTAAGCCTTGTATACTATTTCTAGGCCTATAATTAATAACTAGCCCAGGGGAAATATCTTTTCTGTTATTTGGGGCCCTTAATAACGTCGATTTTTTAATTGTTTTCTAATTCCTCGATTGTCTAAGTTCCCATTAGGGTAGGCCTACAGGTTGGTTTTAGTAACATAATAACAATAATTAATAATAATAATAAAAATAATAATAATAATAATTAATAATAATAATAATAATAATAATAATAATAATAATAATAATAATAATAAAAAATAATCATTTCGGCATTTGTAATTAACCTGGTCTAGTCAAGAATATGCAGATTACTAATACCTGATATTAATAACTAGGCTTAGGCCTTATTTATTCATGGGTGCTCTGCCATTTTGGTAGGTCTTACGGCATCCAGAATTTTAGAGCTGCCTCTTCTCAGCTCTTCTCTTAATTTGAATTAACTGTCACCCTGTTTCATTTGATCAAACGCCCCGAGAAACGCGCTTTTCCTTACTCTCTGTGCTTTCCCCAGAAAGCGTATATTTTTTGTAGTTTGGCCTAGGTAATTATGCAAAACCCAGACCTAACTAAAAAATAAAAATTGCCACAGTATGTAACTCAAATTAAAATAACACTTTTATACTCGTGCAGCTCAATCATATATTATGTCATTTTAAACGACCCATTAGCATGGTAACATCAATGTATTTTAAAAAATTAAACAGCGACGTTCTCTCAGATCAGAAGTTGTGGAGTGGGGTTTCATGTAAATGTTTCGTACGGGGGAAAAAATCGCGCGTGGATGCGGTAAAATTGCTCTCCGTGTACCCACAATGCCTTTTGAACGGATTTTCACGCTGCGGTAGTCATCTTCGATCGATGACAAACAAAATGCTGAGCAATGAATCGTAACAAACAGAAATAACATAGCGTTTCGGCCATATTTTCGGAGGTCATGTTACTCAAAAAATCATATATTATCCTTAACGGAGGGTCGTGTCAACATAATTTGTTCTTTAAAACGTTTGCAAAGGACATATCTACGTCCTGTATGAATAAAAAAAAATTGAAAAATTGTTTAGTCTGTCAAAACTTGACTGGAAAATGGAAAACTGATTTTGTACAGTGCCCGTTGTTATTATTTCAATTAATTTTAATTATTTTGCTACTCATACAGTATTTAAATATATTCTTTGCGAACATTTTAAAGTAAAAATTATGTTGATACGCTCCTCCGTTAACGAGTTATGACTTTTTAAAAGAGAACTAGCAAAATGATTTTTTGTTCTAGAGAGGATTTTTGATTTGCCATTAATAATAAAATCAACCTTAAAATCGTTTTTTGGCTTTTTTTAAATGAAGTTATAGGCGATTATATACGATTTTACCATGACGTCACTGGCGAAAAAGTAACCAAAGATCGTGTAAATAGCGCCGCGTATATGGTATCCGCCGCGTACGATCTTTGCGTGTATGCTGTAACCATGGCTGTAAATTGTGATTGTTACAACATGGAGGTATTAATAATACCTCCATGGTTACAGCATGCACTCAAAGATTGTACGCGGCGGATACCCTGCGCGGTGGACACCCTACGCGGCGCTATTTACACGATCTTTTGTTACTTTTTCGCCAGTGACGTCATGGTAAAATCGTATATAATCACCTATAACTTCATAAAAAATAGCCAAAGAACGATTTTAAAGTTGATTCTATTATTAATGGCATATCAAAAATCCACTCTAGAACAAAAAATCATTTTGCTAGTTCTCTTTTAAGTAACATGACCGGCACGCTAAATGACATTCGGTCGAACAGTGAAATGGCAATGTACCGTATGTGTTAACACTACACAAAATCGGTCTTCCATTTTCCAGTCAAGTTTTGACAGACTAAACAAATTTTCAATTTTTGTTATACATACAATACGTAGATATATCTGTGCGAACATTTTAATGACAAATTTATGTTGACACGACCCTCCGTTAAGGATTTATAATTTTTTAAGTAACATGACCTCTGAAAATATGGTCGAAACGCTATGTTATTTCTATTGGTTACGCTTCGCTGTCAAGCACTGTTTGTCAACGATCGAAGATGTATACCGCAGCGTGAAATTGGGAAGCTGCTCTATCTTCTGCTATTCTGCCCAATATTTTGACTATGTATGGGATAAAATGCAGCTTTACACACTTTAAAAGAAATAATTTGCACTGTCTTATGCGCTTACAAAGATGAAAATTAGCATAATGTATTAATGTTGACAACAAAATTATTTTATCTGGTACCAATCTAAGCTCTTCTTTCCTTAGATGTTAGATGTGCTT